AATACAAATGGCTTTGCTGCAGGAAGAAGATCTGAACTTGGAGAATGTATACTACTCAGAGATGAAAGATGCTGGATTTTTCGATGCTGATTGGGAATAAGACTGGGGTAACAAACATCACTTCCTGATCTTCTAAAATATCTGTACATAGAAGCTGGGAAAAATCTCATAGGAGTTAAGGTATTGCCACTTTTTAAGGCTTTGGTTTACTTTTTAGGACTTTTTCGTCTTGTGATAGGAGACCATGAAGTACATGTGTATGTGTATGTACTTGTCCCTCTAATATAACATGTAGCATCATGCTGTCTTTTCTAATAAATCTAAGTTTCTTGTGAATCTCTGTGTTCCTCGGAGCGAAAACTGATAATCTAAGAGAAAGTTTTAGTAGTGGTCTAAAGATTGACACAATACATCAGTAGGAGAAAGACATAGGAGCATAAGACACATGAGAAAAGACAGAACAAGGAACAATGGCTTATAGTTAAGCGGTTTTCTCTAGGACGAGCTCTTCGATGAGTTCAGCAGCCTGTTGGACAGTTGCAATCTCCTTAGCTCTCTCTTCGGCCATTGTTATCCCGAACTCTTCCTCTAAACCCATCACTATCTCAACCTGCAAAAAACTCTTCCCAGTGAGTTTGGAGATTAAAAAAAAAAAGGAAAAAGAGACGATGGGATAGGAACAATATGGTGGATACATACCGTGTCGAGAGAATCGGCTCCAAGGTCGGTGAATTTGGTTCCAGCAGTGACTTTTTGATCCTGGGAGAGTGACAATTGCTTCTTGACAATCTCAGACACTTTCTCCACCGTCTCTTGCTTGGCCTTTAACCACATAAATACCATTTCAAATCGCTAATGGAAGAGGAAGTGAACGAAAAGTGGAATATAAGAAACAACATACTGCACAAGATATTGCGAGGCGAGCAGGCATGGAACGTGGCCGTAAGGTGAAGGAGAGATTAGTTTTGAAAACCGGAACCGGTTTCTGGAGACTGAATCTTGTTGTTGTAGCCTGCTGTTTCATAACAAATAATTAGTTATCTAAAAAGCATAGCTATTGAGGGAATTGTGTTTCAAAAGTAATCGGCGAGCAACAGAGTTCAAATGCAAGTGGGGTCTGATCACAAACAAAAGTTGCGACGAAAGAAACGATTAGAAGGATCAAGCGGTAAAGATGTTTATGGATTCTACATTCATCATAGTATCACAAAAATAACAATATTGGAGGCAAATGATGTTAAATATAATAACGAGTATTGTCAGAGCAAAGCTAATCCAAT